TTTTATTAGTTTCCTCTTTATTACTTCATCATCTATCATGCTTGCACTTTGTCAAGCATATAAAAAACCAAGGGTCATTCCAAGATTAACAAACATGCTTACAGTAACTTTTGATTACTAAGCAGAGCAGCTTTGGCATAGCCAGCTCCCACTCATGTAGTTATCCACTGCACTACATCTGCACACCCTCTGACTTACTCATCTGATTTATGAACTATCCTGGTTTTAATTACTGGATTCCATACAGTTGGGTCAATAGCTTTTCCAGTCCCACCTGTATTTTGAAGTGTAGTGAAACAAGACTGAATGAGGCTCTGCATATTGACAAAATATGAACCACTAAGTGACATGCTTGTAAAACTTTGGAGATTTTCTTTACCAACGCCTTGGTCATATCTACCTGCATTGACTGAAATAAAACTCAGTCTAAGTGGAGTCATCAAACTATCAGTCTAAAATAGTTTTTCTATTCACACAATCTAATGAGATGCTCTGAACGGTGAGAAACTGCAATTAACACCTGTGTTTTTTTCAAATTCTTACTTCAGAACACCAGCAGCCGATGTGTATGAAAAACACAGTTTAGCCATCAAAACCTATATAAATTGCAATCAACGGAGTTCTTTGTCGCATTGCTGTAGCTCTGATGCTTCTTGGCACTATACTCATCCCACAAACTTCAGAAGATACCATACTACAATTTTACTGCAATAGGATTCAGAATAAAGAGCTCTCTAAATTGCTGCTGTGTTTTGCAATATCATGTACCTTTTTTTAAAGTAGGGTGAAGTTTCACGATTCAGCTGAGCTCATTCAACTTTCTGCTAGAACAATCAGTTTTACTCATTTGGGAAACCAAGGAGCCTTGAACTGGCTCCTCATTCCTGCTTAATAAACTTGGCATAAAACTAATCCAGCATTCAAGAAAATCTCTGTCACTTGCTTAGGCTGAATTAGCCTGCTTGGGGCAGGGGGTGCAATGTCAAAAGCCCTGTAATTTGGGAGGAAGAAGACTAAGATCATTGGTGCTTCTACAGCTATTATGACACTCCACTTAACTGGGGAGATCTCACTCACTCCAAATATTATCGTTCCTATCAAAATGATTTAACTTGCAGGAGAATAATCTATTGCACAAGGAGCAAAAGAGGGAACAGGCTAAGTATTAATTCTGTAACTATAAGAGGGCAGAAATAGAGAATGCAACTATGAACCAACAGTGTTTATTGGCACAGAGAAAGGCAACTCAGCAAATATTCAAAAAGAGAAAGAATCTACTGCATATGAATGGCACTGATAAGGCACCATCTGAAGCACAGTAGCTGTAGATACTGTAGAGACCAGACAGAATATACCATACAAAGGACAACTTAGAATATCAGGTAATATCATAAAACAGAAAACTAAAAAAAAAAAAAAAAAAAAAAAAAAAAAAAAAAAAAAAAAAAAAAAAAAAAAAAAAAACAAA